TCCCGCTCAGATCTAGAGAGCTCCGGGCCGGCCGTTTTTCTACTACGGCCGGCCCGGAGGCAGTTAAAGAAAATGTTTTTCACCCTATAACATATTTGCCTATAGTTGTTTTCAGTCAGTTTTAGAGCCCACTTATACTTTCAGTTTAAGGGCCTGTTCAATTGAGTATCAGGTCCGGATCAGCAGACGCAGTGCTATGTGTTTTGCTGCGTTTTTGCCGCATTTTTTATGCGTTCCAGTTTTTTTTTTTTTTTTGCTGGAGTGGGGCTGTCAGTATGTTAGCTGCAGTGCAGTGCGTTTGACGCGTTTTTGATGTGTTTTGCGTTTCCGGACCATTTCCTGACCGTACAAAATGTGACAAGCAGTATTTTTCTGTCGTAACCTGAACGGACTGTGCACGTGAGAACTGTAGCCCATAAAACACATAGGGATACATTGGGATGCATATTTAGTGCAGGAGTGTACGGATCAGGTCAGCACAGAAAACGGACGTCGTGTGAACAGGCCCTAAATCATATAGGAATGCACTGATACCAATACTTGTACTCACCCAAATGCTCCAATACTTACCCCCAAAACCAGAACCGCAAGGGAACATGGAGCCAGCTTCACATGGAGCCAGCTTCCCTTCCAATAAGAAAACTGGGAGCGGGTAATGACCCGCCGCAAGGCTTCCTGATTGACTGGGAAGCCTCCTCCATACTGTTTGCCCAGCTCGATGCTGACTAGCCGGGAAGCCGCAGGGAGCCGGCTTCCCAGGAAATCAAAAAGGCCGGGCAGCGTGTCATTACATCCTTCTTGATTGCCAGGAAGCCGGCTCCATGCTAGCGGAAGTACCAGTATTGGAACTCGGAATCAGCGAGTACTGAAAGATAAGTATCGGTACTCGATACAGAAAAAGGGTATCGGTGCATCCCTAAAATCAGCTATACACCATCCAGGTGCATCAAAACAAATGGTGCGTAAAGTTTGACAGTGTATTACCTTTAGAACGTGCCACAGTATGAGTAGAAAAGCCTGTCCCCTTCCAACATGCTGCAGAGAAGGACCTCTGGTATCTCTAGGGAAGCAGTGGTCTCTCTGCAGAGGTCTGACACACCCCCTGCTGAGTCAGAGCTATAGCTCAACAATCAGCAGAAAAAATGAGTTTGGTTGAATGGAAAATGTTGTCTCAGACATGCAAAGATAATTGCTTCCACAAAGACAGTAAGGGTCCATCTCTACAACATGCTGTTAGGGTACATGTTGATGTTATTTTAACTGAACTAAAATAATTTATTGACGTGTGCCCTTTCAGAAGTCTGGGAACCAGAATTTCACTCTAAAGACAACAACTTTTTTAGAATTCATATTAGGGATGCACTGATATATCGGCCGCCGAAACAGCGCTGTAAGCGTCCGGCGTGTCTCCTCCCACACAGCTCAGCCTCCTGTCACAGATTGGGAGAGCGGCGGTGTGGGCGGAGACAGCTTGCAGTGCTGTCACAGGAGGCTAAGCTCACTGTCAGAATGGAGAGCGAGTTCAAACACTCAGTGATGATCAGTGATCGCTGAGTGTTTGTAGATAATTGAGGACAGAGTATTATTACTATATCCTCAATTAGGAATAAATGGGAAGTGATCAACATCACCTCCTGTTCATTTATAGTTGTGGTTATAGTAAACACACTCTGTCCTCATGTTATGAATGAACAGGAACACTCAGTATAGAGGATTCCTGTTCATTGATAACAGGGGATACAGAAAAAGAGATTGAGGACTCTGTTTTCTATTCTAAAAGGGAAATATCAGGGGTCTGTTTAAAGCCCTAATATTTCCCCAAAGCCCCTAAAAGTAAAGTAAAAAAGAAAAAATATTTAATAAAAAATGAATAAAAATAAATATTAAAACATTAAAAGGTTTATAAAAAATAAATATAAATAAAATATTTGAAACAATTTGAAAAAATTAAAATAAAAAAACATTTCCGGTTTCAGTTTCGGCCTGACATTTTTTTTTTTTTTTCGGTTTCGTTTCAGTTTTGACATTTTTCTTTCCAGTGCACCTCTAATTTTTAATATTACTCACCTTCATGCCATCAAGGCCAGTTGGACCAGGAGGGCCCACAATGCCAGGCTCACCCTGCAACAAATAAATCATGGGTCAACAATCAGCAGACCCTGAGAAATTATCCAGAGATTTAGGTTCAGCAGGAAAACCCCTCTTCAGTAATCTATACAGAATTGTACGATACCTTTTTACCATCGATACCGTCTCTTCCTGGTGGTCCGCGGAGTCCTTTATCTCCTTTAAATCCGGGTATTCCCGGGACCCCTGGGGGACCTTGTGGACAGTCTCTGCAAACATCCTTCAGGAATAGGAGTGAAACACAATCATTAAATCTGAACTTAGGGCACACAAAATCTCATTTAAATATATTCCTCAACACTTACATAGGATAGGAATCCATTTTTTTGACACCTAATGGCTTTGGAAACCTAGATATTACTTGGTGTGCTTTAAAATAGCTGGTGCAGAGAGCAGAGCTGCGGGTTGGGGCCCAGCAGGATCCACCCACTACAGGCTGCTTACAGAAAACTACAGGAGGGGGCGAAGAAACGACCAGTCACCCTGCACAAGGAGAGAGAGCAGCAGTCTGGTCTTTATTACAACCACCCTGCCTAAGGAGAGAGAAGCAGTGAGCGGTCTTTATCACAGGAAGCTCCAAGTGTCACACTGGAATACTGCACAGGTATGGCAGAAATACACAAAGCTCACAGATTAAAAAAGGATACACTTTGCTATTGTATGAGGACAATATTTGCTTATGCTGTATTTCAACTTCAAAATAACCGAGGCATGCTTATACTTGTAGTCCGCCAGCAGTTGGAGGCAACTGGGTTCCTGTAACTAATGGCGAAGCAATGGGAAGTGCAGTTCATTTGAGACTTGCTTGACTGGAGGATAAGCAAGTGACCTGATGTCTATGGCTCAGTTATCTGCTTCATACCTTACAGGTACACATGGCAGATGGAGCCAGATCTAAACTACGCTGTGTAATTGCAGATGCATACACCGCTTCATCTAGCGTGCTCAGCTGGCTGCGATCTGCTGGCAAATACAGATAAGAACACCAGACGTGACAAAAATACACTTATTCTGCCCTATTATAAACACACACCCATATAAATATATAATAACACTCCAGCAGAAACAAAATGTGCTGACCAATCCGTAGCAGTGCAAAAATTGACATTCTACTTGCAGTGTATGTAAACCTCATCGTTAAAATCTCATATGGGCTTTAAAGTGGAAGTGAACTCAAAAGGGGAAGATTTGCATAGGGAGCACCTAGAATTAATAATTGTGCCTGAAAAATCGACCTTTTGCCTGGAGTTCCTCCTAAATAATATCAGTTTACTTCATGGTATGTGAGGGTGCCTAGGCACTCCTGTGTCTATAGCTTCATTGCTGTATGTCGGCAGTGTGAGATCATCTAAGGCCCTGCTGCCTCTGACTCTTTGGTGATGCCACTACTGTGCTGCTCACTGCTCTCCTGTTCTCATACTCGCCCAAATGCTCTGATACTTACCCCCGGTAACGAAACTTCCAGTCAGAAGGAGATGTCTTCTGACCGGCAGTGCCGCAGGGGAACATGGAGCTGGCTTCCCAGCCAATCAGAAAGCTGGACGGCGGGTAATGACCCACCTCCCGGCTTCCTAATTGGCCGGGAAGCCGACTACATGCTGACTGGTAAGCTGGCTTCCCGGCCAATCAGCATTGATCTGGCCAAACAGCAAGGAGGCGGCTTCCCAGCCAATCAGCATGGAGCCGGTAAACAGCATGGAGCTGGCAATCAAGTATTGGCGAGTACCGAAAACATAAATATTGGTATTCGTACTCGATACAGAAAAAATGGTATTGGCGCATCTCTAACTAAAATGATACTTTAGGATGTTTTAAAGGAGAACTATGAGGTGAGTGATTTTCCCTCAACCTCATAGTTCGAGCCGACGTGTGACAATGAGACTGTCACACATCGGCTCAATAGATCGGGAAGTGAGGGAACACATACCATCGCTCGCTCACTTCACGATCATCTCCTTGCAGAGAGCGGTGACTGCCAGTCACGGCTCCCTGCAGGGATCCCCCCCCTCCCCTTTGCGATCCTTCAGCACTGACTGGCGGAAAGGGCGGGGGAGGGGGCGGGTACAGCTTGCTCTGCCTCTAGATAGGCAGAGCCAGTTGTCATTCACGCAGCTGGGTGGATCTCGACAGTAATGTCGGGATCCGTCCCGCCTGCGGCGGTCTCAGTATACTGTGAGCTGTAGCTCGCTATATACTGAGCTTTGGGTCACGGGAGGAGGTTAGTATATGTCCTCCCGTGACCCTTAAGAGAACTATAGGGAAAAACACTTACCACATAATTCTCTTTTAAATGATACTTTAGGATGTTTTTTAGAACACTTTATGATGTTTTTTTGTGATACTTTAATGATATTTTATTATGTTTGATGTTGTGGTTTATTTATAATAAAGTGGTCCAAGTACTTCATGAGGCCAGTGAGCTCTGCACTTTTTTTGTTCTTGAAATAAATATTATTGTTGTTTGCTATGAATTCCGCATCCTCCGTCTGATTCTCCTTAGAAAAGATCAGAGATTGTTATTCCAGCCAGGTCTCTGTGCCGTGGAGCATTATGAGATTTCTGCTTACCTTGAAAAGATGTTGCATGTCTCCCGGGGAGAGGACAGAAGCCGGACCCTGCAGGAATACAGAATAAGGGGAGGTAAATAGGAGGACTCAGGAGGGGACGGCTATTCAGCACGGATAGAAGCCTGGACATGTGAAGTGCCCTCCCCTATGCCGCCGTGCTCCTCAGGGAGAAGGTGTACTGCAGAAAACTTCATTATGAGGAAAACATTTTGTATTTTCGGTGAGCTTTTGAATTGTAATCAAAAAGCAATTTCAGGGAACAAGTGAACGCATTCAGTACACATCTCCTGCAATCCAATAGTCACTGCACCTGTGCTAAAGTTAAAAAAAAAACTAAATTTTCCTTAATCTGAGTTGTATGTCATCACCTACAGAATAAGCGTCTTATTGAGGTTCAGTGGGAGGGCAGTAGACAGAGAAGACACTTCTACTATGTAGTTTTCTGCACTACACATTACATGTAAACCTCCAAGCAGGGACGTGTGGTCAGGGGAGGCAGAGTCTCCCCTAGTATTATCCAGGTAAAAGCTGTCAGCTTCAAGTCTGAAGCTGACAGCTTTTTCTCCATTCAGATCGGCTTGTAACAGGTTAGACAGCAGGGAAAGCCTCCGCGCTGTGTAACCTGTCATGGACGGAGCGCTATCTGTTAATTACAGGCGGCTCTGCATGCAGCTTTTGACAGGTAGTTAGGTTACACACCAGCGGGCTTCCCCACTGCTTGTGTAACCTAACTTGGTGAGGCAAGAGCTGTCACAGCCTCTCCTCTGTGTTAGAGGCGTGAGCTCTGTGGATAGCTTGGACCAATGGCAAAGCGCCATCGGTCCAAGCTGTCCAATCAAAAAAAAAAACAGTGCGGACATCGATCTCGATGCCTCAGCAGTGACAAGCAAGTGAGGGACAGCGGGGCTCCTCCCTGTCTCCTCCTTTCCTCCTCCCCACACAGCTTGGTTACCGAGCTGGGGGTGGAGCTTCGATGGGGTGGAGCTTCAGTGGGCTGGGGGTGGAGCTTTGGCTGGCTGGGGGAAGCCTCACCCAGCACAGAAGGCACGTCACGTCACTGCATCCAAGGTATGGCTGAGTCTGATTGGTGGCTGTGAGAAACTTCTTAGTATGTTTCATTATCACCAGCAGGGGAGTTCCAGGACCATGAGCAGATGTGTTTCAGGCATCATCAGCACGTGCGTTCCAAGTTAATCAGCAAGTGTTCCAGCTGCACCTGCAGATGTGTTGCAGAATCAACAGCAAGTGTGTTCAAGGACCATCCAGGTCATGGTATATCTGTAAGAAATAAATCAAAGCAACTGGACTCGCTGTATGTTTCTTGAAGATATTTTGCTGGTCATCTGACTAGCTTTGTCAAGTCAGAATGACTTGTGAATTGAGAAAGCTAGTCAGATGACCGGCGAAAACGTCTTCCAGAAAAATAAAGCTAGTCCAGTTGTATTGATTTATTTTTTTACAGTTACACCAACAGATGTGTTTCAGGGTCACCTGCAGGGATATTCCAACTTCACCAGCAAATGTGTTCCGGGATAACCTGCAGGTCTATTCCAGGTTTACCATCATGCGTGTCCCACATGATTAACAGCTAACAGATAAAAGTGGATGGGGTGGGCTGGTGCATCACAGCAACGTCTGGATGGAAAGCTGAACTACTTAGCAGGCAGGCTTGTACTCTCTGTGTGCATCTCAAGGTTAGGATGTTCATTAAGAATGTAATTGTTCATATGTCTCATATATTATCATCTATTGTATTCATTTACAGAGGGCATACATATGTCATACGGCTTTGCACAGTACAGACAACCACTTATATTAGTCCCTGCCCTTGGAAGACACAGAGTAGGGCCAATCTGGTCAGAACCCAGATCATTTACCAGTATAGTATGGACTAGGGTTGCCTCATGTCCAGAATTCATCGGACAGTCCGGTTTTTGAGTCCTGTGTCTGGGTTTTAGGCCAGCTGACACCCGGACACTTTACATTTTTTGACAGAAAGAAGGAAGAGGAGATGTGCGAGGCCACGGGTCACAGGAAGGCTGCCGAGGTCCCCAGCAAGTGTGGAACCTTGGCAGCCTTCCTGCGAGCCACAGGCGCTTGTAAACAGGCGCTAGCCCGCACATCTCCTACGTCTTCCTGACACCACGCTGCCTGCCTCCAGACCCCTGGTGAGACACCGCACAGCACTCCTGAAAGTCTGCATAGCCCGCATAGCCACCTGAGCCCGGACACAGCCACTTGAAAGCCCACATAGCCACCTGGGACCGCACACAGCCACTTGAAAGTCCACATAGTGCACCTGAGAGCCTGCACAGCCCACCTGAGAGCCTCCACAGCCCACCTGAGAGCCTCCACAGCCTGCTGACAGCCCGCACAGCCTACATGAGAGCCTCCACAGCTCATCGGAGAGCCAGCAGAGTCCACCTGAGAGCCTGCACAGGCCACCTGAGACCCTGGAGACATCAGGGAGCCACCCCCCCAGAACAACACATCCTGTATGTCGCTTGATATTTATTTTGTATTGCTGAATAATGTATTGCTGGATCTTGTAGTCCTCTATAGCCGGTCTCCTTACTCCCTCCCTTGGCTGTCTCTTCTTGCTCTTTCTCTGGGCTGCCTCTCCTCGCTTTCTCTTCTATATTCTCAAAAAAGGAAATTGCAGCGCTAGATCGCTCGGGTTTCACTTGAAGAAAAGGTGGCAACCCTAGTATGGTCCATGGGTGGTAAAAGAACTTCTTCTGAAAACCCATATGAAAAATGTCATCCCAAGTGAGAGCTGAACCCTGGACCCCGGTGCCCCAAGGCTACAGCAGTAACCAAAGAGCTGTCCAGTGTCTTGTGTTAAATGACCTCTATAGACTAAATGATGTATAAAGCAATGCAAAGGCTAAGAATTAACGCTCACCGCTCACTCACAACTAAAAAAGAAATCTATATTTCAGTATATTTGGCATCATTGCTCACTGCTTTTAGGCAAATTGTAAATAGTAAAAATGTCTCACCTGGAGACAGTGGCGGAACTACCAGGGTCGCAGAGGTCGCGGCCGTGCCCTGGAGTTCCACCACTTGGAGGGGGCCCAGGACAGGAGGAAGGGGCCCCTGGTGACCGCTGATTACCAGGATATTTATTATCCCGGTAACCGCTAATGTCAGTCCCGGGACCTCTTTCTCCTGTCCTGGGCCCTACGTGCTTCACCCTGCCTCCCTCACCTTGTTCCGGGCGCAGCGTGAAGCATCATCCAGCCAGGCAGCAGCCAATGAGTGGGAGCGGTGTAATCCCCGCCCCCTCATCACACAGAACTGCTGCCCAGTGCCGAATAGAGCTGCTGCGGACACGAAGGGGGAGACAGGGAGCTGGAAGTATGAAGGAAGGTGACATCGGGTCCGGGAGCGGAAAGCTGGGGACATGAAGGGGGAGATCATGGGGAGATCATGGGGAGCTGGGGACATGAAAGAGGAGAGTGTTTTTAATGGATTCTTGCATCGGGGCCCTGAGGTCACTAGTTACGCCACTGCCTGGGGATTCTGCCAGTAACAGCATTTCCTGTTGCAAGCTGCCAAAAATAAACCACTGCCTCGCAGTTAGCATTAGACATGTGCATTCGGATTGTGGACGATCCTGCAAATCAACGAAAATCAGTTGATTCGACGGTCCGTCCGAATCCGTAATAACGAATTTATACATATACTAAAACTATATTCGGGCATGCATAAATTCGTTTGCAGAATGAGAGGTGGCCATATTGGCCGCCGGCGGACGTTCTGTGCAGGCGCGCCGCCATCTTTGAGTATATCTTGGTGTTAAATGGCAGAGAATTCCCTCTGCTGATGGTCCTGGAACACACCTTCTGTGATCCTGGAACACATATCGGCCACCAGCGCATTCTGCGCAGGCGCGCTGCCAGCCGTTTCAGATTCGGAGGCTCTTTGCCTCCGAATCCAAAACCGCATAAAAATGTGTTTTCTTTTAAACTAATTGAAACGTTTTTCGTTTTCATTTGTTTTGTCAGAAAATGTTTTTTTTTTGCCCTGCACGTGTCTAACTAGCAGTAGCGTTGTCAGTCTGCCGTGTCAGCAACTTGAGTTGGCCATTGGGCTGACCATCTGTTGGACGTAATAAGCAACCCAATGTCCAATACACAGAAGGCTGACAACGTTGCTGCTGATTGTGAGGCTTTGCGTCGTCAGCCTGTAACAGGAAGTGCTCCTACTGGCAGGAAGTCCAGGTAAGAAAGTTTCAACTTTGCATCAGCTATACAAAAAAAAATCTATTTGCCTAAAGTAGTATTAAACTCTCAATAATGACTCCAGATCAAACAAATAAATTACCCAGCAGAGTATTTCTTATAGTTTTGCTCAAGCACTTACAGTCATCAAGTTTCCATATAACTCCAACTCTCTCAGTTCCGCTTCCCTGAACTTCCTGTCCAGTACAAGATCACAAGGGACAGGACAGTTTCCAGCAGCAGTGGAATGTCTTGCATTGCTGTGTCTGTATGCAGACTGTATGCAGACGTACACAGCTTACTTGCACACAAGGGTGGCTCCATAGGACACTGCAAGGAAAACAGGATATAAGGGCCAGTTCTCAGGGGACCAGCTGATTCTTCAAATAAGCTGAAATAGCTTAAAGGAGAGCTATGAGGTGAGTGGAAATTTACTCAACCTCATAGTTCGAGCCGACGTGTGACACTGAAACTGCCACACATCGGCTCAATAGATCGGGAAGTGAGCGAACACATACCGGCGCTCGCTCACCTCTCTAACATGTCCCTGCAGAGAGCCGTGACTGTAGGATCCCCCCCGCTCCGATCCTCCAGTGCTGACTGGCGGAACGGACGGGGAAGGGGGTGGGTACAGCTGTCTCTGCCTCTAGATAGGCAGAGCCAGCTGTCACTCATGCAGCTGGGTGGATCTCGACAGTAATGTCGGGATCCATCCCGGCTGCGGCGTTCTCAGTATACCGCGAGCCGTAGCTCGCAATATACTGAGCTTTGGGTGATGGGAGGACACTAGTATATGTCCTCCCGTGACCCTTAAGAGAACTATGGGGAAAAACACTGACCCCCCATAGTTCTCCTTTAAAGACCTTTTGACTTGAATATCACTTTAAGAAAACTGTTTACAGCGAGGCACGATGCCAAACATACTGAAACATGAATTTTTAGTTTGCATTCACCTTACCACAATAACGCAGCCACAAAATAATTAGCACAGTAACAGTAATTTGATGGTGAATGCGTAGCGCAGAAGACATACCGGTTCACCTGGAGGTCCTGCCTCTCCTGGGTTTCCTGGGAAGCCCTGCAAACAAGGGAGGAATAATTCATTAACTCAAATCTTGTTTAACAGACTTCAGATCACATCTAATGAATTATGGAGACAGACTTTTTACTGTGTAAATTAAAGAAATACGTATTCATTAAAATAAAAATTGCCAGCTGTAGGAAATAAGGGGGAATTCGACTTTCCTAAGTACACTATGACATTAATAATTTTGCTCTAAAACATAAAATTGCAGATATTTCTCCTAATTAGTAGAGTCAGTTTGTTTTCTTTGGCTCCGAGTACTGGCTGTGAATCCAAAGATAAAAGGGAAGAGGATGAGTTATTTTAGAATATAAGCATTCGAGAAAATAGGCCCGCACACTACCAGCTCCTGGATTTAAAGTGGTTCAAACTTCATCCAATAGAAAATCCTTAAATTGATTTTCCTTTATATTTGCATATGGAACCTTTAGCATCTTGTGTTGCTTCAGGGCCCCTTCATACTTGGGCTTCCCATAAAGCTTCCCATAATGCATGCACTGTAGTGCACAGCGTTTTTGTGCATGAATAGGCTGGTAGGTAGGGCACCATTTTCCTAGATGCCTCTGAGGCTGCATTCACATATAGCATTTGCGGTTCCCGCACGGTCTTCCGGTATTTCTAAATCCGGTCCATAATACTTTCCGTGCTGGTGGGCAGTAACCCATTGCTACTATAATTTAGCTGTTTAGGAAATCTATCCTGTTTTGTCTGTTATATTAATGAAAGTTGTGGGTTGTTGTACGTTGACTTATTTAAAATAAGGTTATTGTTGTTACTTACATCTTGTCCTGGGGGGCCCTGAGGGCCTGGTGGACCAGAAAGTCCTCTAGGACCCTGTAAAATGTAAAGAATACCATCAATATAATTTATTGATTCCCCATCCAAATATGAAATATATACAGAGGCATTTAGGCCTAAATATTGCCAGAAAAAGGATGAATTAAAGAGTAGATGCAAATACCGTGCAAGTGCTACCATGTCAGTGTCCTGTATCCCCAAATACCAGTGTGTCTTTGTTCTCAAGCAACAAGTGCTACCATGTCAGTGCTCTGTATCCCCAAATACCAGTGTGTCTTTGTTCTCTAGCCACAAGGGCCACCACGTCATTGATCTGTATCCCCAAATACCAGTGTGTCTTTGTTCTCTATCCACAAGTGCCACCATGTCATTAATCTGTATCCCCAAATACCAGTGTGTCTTTGTTCTCTAGCCACAAGGGCCACCATGTCATTGATCTGTATCCCCAAATAACAGCATGTCTTTGTTCTCTATCCACAAGAGCGAAAGGGGTTGAACTGCTAATAGGCTGTTAACTTTGCAAGGGAATTTGAACTTTGCAGGGGAAGTTTCTTGTAGCTCGGTGAATGAGATGAAATTTCCCTTTGCAAAGAATACACAATCATATACAAGGAAGTCATGTGAAAGGAAGGAAGATGGAAGTCAGCAGAGCTTCACCTCATTCACTAAACTAGGGGGGAAACTTCCCCTGCAAAGTGAAAATTCCCTTGCAAAGTGAACGGCCTTTTGGCCTTAAGTAAATCAGCCTCAACGTGTCAGTGTTCTCTATCCCCAAGTGTCTTTGTGCCATTGTTCTGCACCTCCAAGAGCCAGTAGGTGATTGTTCAATATCTGCAAGTGGAAGTGTGTCATTATTCATTATCTCCACGTGCCAGTGTGCCATAGTCTTCAATCCCTATGTGCCAATGTGTCATTGTTCTGCATCTCCATGTGCCAGTGTGCTATTGTTCTGTATCTTTGAATGCTAGCATGTGATTGTTCTCTATTCCCAAGAATCACTGTGTCATTGTTCTGTACCTCCAAGTGCCAGTATATAATTACTCTGTATCCACAGGAGCCAATGTGTCATTGTTCTGTATTTGCAATTAAGGGCCAGTGTTTGGCCCTTACATATTTCCCTGCCTGGCTCTTAGCAACCTTAGACGTTCTGGACGGAAAGGGGGTGGCAGACATACTGAGATGCTGCCCGTAGCAACAGGCTCAGGTTGCCTCATTATTGGGATGTCACTGACTGAAAGTAACAAGGTGTCACTGTGCTGTATCTCCAACATGTCAGTGTATCCTTGTTTTCTATCTCCAAGTGCCACTGTTCTGTATCCCTAATATCATTGAGTGCCAGTGTATGATCATTCTATATCTTCAAGTGTCAGTGTGTCATTGATCTGCATCTTCACGAGCCAGTGTGTCACTGTTCTGTATCTCCAGGAGGCTATATGGCCAGATTTCGAGCCCATCCTGGCCTCACAAATGTACTCTACCTTGACAGTGAAGTGATAAGAATCAATAAAAAGTGTTGTAATTGTCTATTTTGCATTTTAGAATAATTTTTCATGTTTTTCATATTTGTTTTTTCATATTTTTTTTTTTCTATTCATTTTTTTTAATTAAAGTTGCAAATGATTTGGTGTTTGGATTACTTCCATGCAATGAAAATGTAATCTCTTGCCTTCCGAATTCTGACAAAAGGAACAATAGAATGGAGATATACACTGTGAGCCCGGATAAAAGCAGAATAGATTTTCGCCCGTGTTCTGTATAATCCGACACGCTCGTTAAAAAGGAGATTTTTACTACTGTTTGAGCACTGCAAACAAATAACGGCTTCGGGAGGTAATTGGGGGAGGCATTCGTTGCTCCATAATATTTTACATTTACTGCAACACCAGACTTAAAAGTGCAGAGTGTTGGTTTTCAGATTTCGGACTACATAGGGTTAACAATGGAAATTGTGCCGCCCCAATAGGGATATAGAATATGAGATGCATAGCCTCAGTTAATATTAGCATTGTTATATAGGTTAGAATTTATATAGTGTGATTTGCCTAACTATTTTCTCATAGCTAAATTAATGTGTTATCCTATGCTGCCATCTAGTGGCCTTTTGTTGTAATGTACATGTTTTTCTGTGATTCTTTGTGATGTCTACGATGTATTTCCTCTCTGTATGTAGCCCCACCCTTCTTCCTGTGTGCAGTACTTCCTGTGTCATGGCAAAGCTAGCAAGCCACATGTAACAGGACACACATATAATCTGCACAGTACGGAGGAAAGGCATCATTTTCTGACCGCACAATACTACAACCATTCAACTGCTGTTCCTATCATCTGCTGTAATCCTGATGTAAAGAATAAACACCTCTTTTGAATGAATCGGTATTGACGAGTTCAGCTATCTGACGAGGATTGTCCGCAGTGAGTATATCTGCTTATACAGGCCAGGCATAGAGGTCTCAGCAAGTGCCAATGTGTCATTGTTCTGCATCTCCATGTGCCAGTGTGCTATTGTTCTGTATCTTTGAATGCTAGCATGTGATTGTTCTCTATTCCCAAGAATCACTGTGTCATTGTTCTGTACCTCCAAGTGCCAGTATATAATTACTCTGTATCCACAGGAGCCAATGTGTCATTGTTCTGTATTTGCAATTAAGGGCCAGTGTTTGGCCCTTACATATTTCCCTGCCTGGCTCTTAGCAACCTTAGACGTTCTGGACGGAAAGGGGGTGGCAGACATACTGAGATGCTGCCCGTAGCAACAGGCTCAGGTTGCCTCATTATTGGGATGTCACTGACTGAAAGTAACAAGGTGTCACTGTGCTGTATCTCCAACATGTCAGTGTATCCTTGTTTTCTATCTCCAAGTGCCACTGTTCTGTATCCCTAATATCATTGAGTGCCAGTGTATGATCATTCTATATCTTCAAGTGTCAGTGTGTCATTGATCTGCATCTTCACGAGCCAGTGTGTCACTGTTCTGTATCTCCAGGAGGCTATATGGCCAGATTTCGAGCCCATCCTGGCCTCACAAATGTACTCTACCTTGACAGTGAAGTGATAAGAATCAATAAAAAGTGTTGTAATTGTCTATTTTGCATTTTAGAATAATTTTTCATGTTTTTCATATTTGTTTTTTCATATTTTTTTTTTTCTATTCATTTTTTTTAATTAAAGTTGCAAATGATTTGGTGTTTGGATTACTTCCATGCAATGAAAATGTAATCTCTTGCCTTCCGAATTCTGACAAAAGGAACAATAGAATGGAGATATACACTGTGAGCCCGGATAAAAGCAGAATAGATTTTCGCCCGTGTTCTGTATAATCCGACACGCTCGTTAAAAAGGAGATTTTTACTACTGTTTGAGCACTGCAAACAAATAACGGCTTCGGGAGGTAATTGGGGGAGGCATTCGTTGCTCCATAATATTTTACATTTACTGCAACACCAGACTTAAAAGTGCAGAGTGTTGGTTTTCAGATTTCGGACTACATAGGGTTAACAATGGAAATTGTGCCGCCCCAATAGGGATATAGAATATGAGATGCATAGCCTCAGTTAATATTAGCATTGTTATATAGGTTAGAATTTATATAGTGTGATTTGCCTAACTATTTTCTCATAGCTAAATTCATGTGTTATCCTATGCTGCCATCTAGTGGCCTTTTGTTGTAATGTACATGTTTTTCTGTGATTCTTTGTGATGTCTACGATGTATTTCCTCTCTGTATGTAGCCCCACCCTTCTTCCTGTGTGCAGTACTTCCTGTGTCATGGCAAAGCTAGCAAGCCACATGTAACAGGACACACATATAATCTGCACAGTACGGAGGAAAGGCATCATTTTCTGACCGCACAATACTATAACCGTTCAACTGCTGTTCCTATCATCTGCTGTAACCTGATGTAGAAGAATAAACATCTTTTTTGAATGAATCGGTATTGACGAGTTCAGCTATCTGACGAGGATTGTCCGCAGTGAGTATATCTGCTTATACAGGCCAGGCATAGAGGTCTCAGCAAGGGATATATTTCGCTATCACAACGATCGGAGTCAGAATAGAAATGGAGACACAAAGAGCACTATGGAAATGAGGGACAATAAAAATAATGTACACAAAACTGCCGGTATTAAGATACTTAAAGGAGAACTATGAGGTGAGTGATTTTCACTCATCCTCATAGTTAGAGGCGACCTGTGACAAAGAAACTGACACAGGTCGGCTCGATCGATCGGGAAGTGAGCAGAAACATGCACCGATCCGCTCACTTCCTGATCATCTCCCTGCATTAGTGACTGTCCCTGCAGCGATCCCCCCCCCTCCCCACTCCGATCCTCCAGCACTGACTTGAGAAACGAACAAGGAGAGGGCGGGAACAGCTGGCTCTGCCCCTAGATAGGCAGATCCAGCTGTTAATCACGCAGCTGGGTGGATCTCAACAGTATTGTCAGGATCTGTCCCGGCTGCGGCGCTCTCAGTATACAGCGAACTGTAACTTGCTATATACTGAGCTTTGGGTCACAGGAGGACGTTAGTATATGTCCTCCCGTGACCCTAAAGAGAACTATGGGATAAAAAGGTTACCCAATAGTTCTTTTTTAAAGGAAAGAAACTCCAACTGGTTAAAATGTATTTAACGTGTTCGTGTTCTGAATGAATCCATAAATGTGCTTAAAATTTACATTTTATAAATTTTGAGGTTTGAGACCCCTGCCACATAGGTACCATTTTGGTAGATACAGCCCTGGAAGGGATCCAACATCCCAGCTGCCATCATTTAACCCTTTCACTGCCACCACCATCCCCCCCCCCTTTTGTGCACACACACACACACACACTAAACATGCAATTTTTTGCATGAAACCCCAAAATGTCGTCTATTTGCTAAATGCAGAGGCTCTGTAGAAAAAATATGTCATTTTTTTTTAATGTCATATCATTATATTCTTTCAATAGAGTGCATACAGGATGTTATGCTCCTAGAAATATGTATAATGTCTTAGGTTATAATTTATGTTTTACATTACAAATCCATATTTCATTGTTTTTTTTTATACTATCATTAGATAACATACATACACAAGTGTCCTCACACAGACTTGGATTGCAAAGGGAAGGGGTGTGTCAGAGTAGGTCTGTTGCTGGGTGCTGATTGTTGGGTGCAGTAGGTTTAATTATCATGCCTATTGGACTGCACAGTCATATTTAAACACCCTGCGCAAATGCTGTAACAGTAAAGAGGAGGTAAGATTATGAACATTGAGGTTGTTAGTGCGAGGAATAAAGTGTAGGATTAGTTCGTAGTGACATTTATGTTTTTTTAATAAATACCTGTTCCCCTTTTTCTCCTGGAGGTCCTAGCGAGCCCTGCAAGAAAAATATATACTAAGTGGTTGCAAACTGTTTAAATCCAATTCAGCAAAGTGGAACCTAGGTCAAAATCTGCTCTGGCAATTGTGTGAGTTTTGTGGGAGACCAATAAACTTATCAGACTTTTTCTCCTTTGTGGGAGAAAAACCGAGCTTGTGGAGGAAACATTATAACTAAAGAAGAACATAGTGTATAGCTTCATGCACAATATGACTAGGGATGAGCTTGGGTTTGGTCCAAAACCTAAACTCCTCCAAAAGCAGAAGGAAAATCATTCTACTGGAATCCCATCAAAATGACCCGGGGAATTCCCCACCCATAACTTCATGGAAATAAAGAGATGAGATGATGTGATGTCATTGACTATACATGGCCACATGGCTATATTCGGTCAATGATATTGACCCAATATGGGCATGTGGTCCTATAAGGTCAATGACGTCAGCCCCTTTGTTTATATGCATGTTTATGGGGGAATGCTCCAACCTGCAGCTGACTGGTAAGATTGCCCCATGTCACTTCCAGGTTTGCGGGAGCTCAGATTCAGACCAGGTTCAGTCTGAGCCTGAGATCATCCCTAAATATGACCTTGGTGACCTGCAAGGCGAAAATGTGAACTTGGCCAACTTGATCCATAAACTTCAACTTGGCCAACTGGATCCAGCCAAATTCGCCATAGCTACATTTTTAGGGGCACTTATCCAAAAAAGGAATGTCAGGTCTTACCTGTATATCTCAGTGACCCTGGAGACAAGACCTCTGCACAAAAGCTGCACCCACCTGTCATTCCCATTATATGGGGTTGGCACTCTCTCTTTTGCAATTTTCATTGACTTAATATAGGGCAGAAGTAAAATCTGAATGTAAGCAAAAGCTTATATCAACATTCACCCAAATTTGGGTGAACTGATCTTTTGCTCAATACAAGAGCATTTTTTGCTAACCTAAATTTAATAATATTATAAATTACTTACCGGAGTACCATCAATGCCTATTCCTGGAGGTCCTCGGGCACCAGGCTGGCCAGGAATACCTGGAGAACCTCGATCCCCCTAAAATACAAAAAAGAAACACATCAATATACCCAAGTACAGAGTATTAAACTGTGCCAGTGGAAGAGCCGTGCAGTATAAGTAAATAAGGAAGGATGCACAACAGTGGAGTGTAACAGCGAGATCCTGAGATTAGGATCTTTGCCTGTAGTGCCATCATATCTTAACTATCCACCTTTTTGTTTTTGATTTTTTTTTTGGTTCAGCTGTCAGAATTCTAGTCTAGTCTGAATTCTACACCTTAGTCTTCACTAGCTTCCTATAGGTATGTACAACAAGATACCAAAGACTCACAGGTAAATTTATCAATCCTGGAGCAGACAAAATCTGGAGCAGTTGCCCAGAGCAACCAATCAGTTTCTCTCTTCAGTTAAGATTTGAAAATGAAAGAAAGAAGCTGATTGGTTGCTGTGCACAGATTCAGCCTTCTGCCCACCTACCTGTAAAGCCTGCTATCCTTCACCTGCAGAGCCTACTGCCTACTTTCCTATATGGCCTGCTATCTTTTTACTTGCAAAGCCTACTGCTCGCTGAACTGTGTAGCCTACTACCTGCCCACCTCTATAGCATTTTGCTCACCTACCTGTAAAACTTACTGTAGAGCCAATTGCCCACCTACCTGTACAGCCTACTGTCCCTTTACCTGCAAAGCCTACTGCTACCTAGCTGTACAACCTACTGCCTGCCTACCTGTACAGCCCAGTATCCCTTTAATTGCAAAGTTTACTGCCGCCTACCTGTGCAGTCTATTGCTTGACCACCTCTCTAGCCTACTACCCACCCACCTGTACAGTCTACTATCCCTTTACCTTCAAAGCCTGCTACCACCCAGCCCTACAGCCTACTACCTCAATAGCCTACTGCACTCCTGTACAGCTTACTATCCTTTTACCAGCAAAGCCTACTGCCCACCCACCTATATAGCCTACTGCCCACCCACCTATATAGCCTACTGCACACCCACCTGCAAAGCCTGCTATCCCTTTACCTGCAAAGCTTATTTCCCACCCACCTCTATAGCCTACTGCCCACACACTTGCACCCTCACCTTAAAATCTGCTGCCTGCCCACTTGCACAACCAATTGGTGACCCAACCACATGGCCTAACGCCCGTCCACCTGCTTGGCCGAAAGTCCAACTGACAGCCAGCAGCCTTTAAATCTAGATAAGGTTTATGCACATGATGCCTCTTTTATTGTGTGCTCCTTTTACTTTATTTCAATGTCTTTTTTTCACCCTATCAATCTAATGTCCTCCTAAACAGAGTTTGAAATCAAAGTTACAGCCATCCTCTGCAACAGAATATTTAATTTTGGTGAGATATTTTCAAAGGGAACTTCAGACCAAAGGAATGCAGAGGATGGTGATTTATTTATTTTATTACCACACTGAGATTGTTTGGTGTGTGGTAAAATAGCAGACCCTTCCATTAAGCAGTCAGCTTGGCAAAAAGTGTTTCCAAAGCTTACATTATTATTTCCAGAACAGAAGCAGATCACAATGTGCAAATCAAAGTTTCTAAAATCTTCACAGTGCATATCGCTGGTCTATGTTTTTTTTCCAACCGCTCCCTTCGCCCAAATTTAGACGGCCGGTCTCACTCTCTCCAGCTGCCGTTTCAGTTCAAAGTGCATAAAAAATTAGCACAAAAAGCTACTGAAGCAGAGTGCTTTGATGTGAACTCTACACCATGCTGGTACATGAATTGAAGTTTAGCATTTATATTAGAAAGAACCATAAGGGAAGTGTGCTACCTCATTTAGGCATGGAGATGACTGCACATTAACCTACAACATTAAAGAGGAACTCCAGGATTTTCGAAAGCTTCTTTTGGTCTAAGGGCACAAATAAAGAAAATACACTCACTGGATCCTCAGTCCTGCCTGGCTGCAAGACTGGTCCCCTCTTCTCCCTTGGGCTCTGGCGGTCTAAGACCCATTGACATAATTACATCTTTGTAAGGTCCGGTCCATTCACTTGCACAAGATGTGAGGACGCTGAGGGACATACCACCGCCGTGGTGGAAGAGACGAGAGGGGACACCACCGCAGGATCGAGAATCGGTTGAGTGTATATTCTTTATTCCATTCCCTGAACCAAAACGAGCAGTTAAACCTTGCAGTGCAGGGGTAGCTCCACTGCAAGGGTTAATAATGTAATGTGTTTACAGTCTCTGACCCTCTCTTGTAGCTTGTCCTTAGTCTTTCACGATCTCCTGTTGCATGTCTGCAGTCTCTGACCATCTCCTGTTGCATGTGCACAGTCTCCGTGCAGCTCTTGTAGCATCCCCTTAGACTTTGACAATCTCGTGTTGCATGCCCACAGTATCTGAACATCCACTGTAGCATGTCTGTATTCTCTGACCATCTCTTTTAGAATGTCCTTAGTCTTTGACCATCTCCTGTTGCATGTCTGCAGTCTCTGAACATCCCCTGTTGCATGTCTGCAGTCTCTGACCATGTCTTGTAGTATGGCTGCAGTCACTGACTAACTCCTGTTGCATGTGCATAGTCTCTGACCATCACCTGTTGCATGTCTGCAGTCCCTGACCATCTCATTTTGTCTACAGTCTATAGTCTCTGGCAGGTGTCTGTAGTTTTACCATCATTGAATATTATTTGGGGCCCCTAGAAAATTGTTTACTAGTGTAATAGAGTGAACTATAAGCCCACTGGATGTCCATAGTGTTCCACATGTCTTTAATACATGTTTGGTAAAGTGGTTGATGGGCTCTTGACATGTGGTTGGCAAGCTTTTGGCAAATGTTCACTAAGAGCTTATTTAGATGGTCACTGTTGCCAAGTGCATGGTCGGAGGGCAGGGGGACCAGGGGGAGGGTAGAGTTGATGCAGGTTGGCAATGTGAACATTTGGTTTGTTGGGCAGGGGTGGTTTGGTGGTAGGGGTGCTGGAGGTCATCTCTCTCTGGCATCCCACCCTGATCACTGACGTCACTGGTTGCCAGGAGCTCTGTGGGACACCAACAGAGCATCCTGCTCAGCTCCTAGCAACGAGAGCTTTTAGAAACCTGGGATGCTCTTGCTGGGGAGGGGGAAGCCACCGCGTGACACAAAGAGATGCCGCCTAAGGCAACAACTCTTTCAAGTGGGGCTGTGCTGTGTGGCAAAGCTGTGTAAATCTCCTGATTGGATGGACAGGCAAACAAATCCATTGACAGGTAGAACGGCTCCCATATACGGTATGTGCATTTAGCTGTGTGCCTGGAGTTCCGCTTTAAGAAGAGTCAGTCACACAAACCAAATTCGTATGTAGGGTGTACAGACGACTAATATAAAACTGAATCTGATGTATACATTCCTCTATACATGTAAAGGTCAGTAAGGAATTTTCTTCAGATTGGTGTTCACACTCCAAGTGCCTAGGTTCTAATAGTCGTTATCTACATGGTCCACAACATTACATACACAGGTCAGAACAAATGCTTAGCTGGTTATGGCGGCCTTGGAACTAAAGACTGTTTTAATGAATGCTCCAGGGGAGCAATTATGTAGAAAAATGAACGCATTGTATGCAGCGCTAATTACCCGAGTTTGTGCTCTTCTCTCCCTTTGTTCTGTCAGGGAAATGAATCATTCTGTAGACTTTCGGCATATATTAAACCTATTAATGCTTCAGACTGATCCATTTCACCCCCTCCAATTTATCTCACGCGGCTTCGGATTTTAACATGCATAATGCGAGTGAGCTCCTCGCTGGCATTCGCGTCCTAAAAGGCCTCGTTCACTGAGAAAGCACACGTCGGACTTGTTGGAAGACAATGGTCTGTGTCGCCCATAGCCACCAATCTCACCACCCATCAAGAGATGAGTGCATCATTAAAGGTCCGCTCTGCTGGCCATCTGCTAGAAGCTCTTTTGCGGTCACATACGCTGAGTGCTAATTGGCTGATCTGACGGTAATTTAGAGTTCTGGGCTTTTTCTTCATGTGTCCCTTTTTAACACCATCTTGCCGGCATAACAACATATGTGTCAGCACGGCAAGTGGGCCTTAATCCTGGCTGCACTTACTGGAGCACTCCAAGTACAGTGACGGAGCTGTCATCATCAGCCCCTGGTCACTGTTTACGGGCGGGAGCCAGTGGGGTGGGCTCCTGAGCATGTGGCCGCCAACCAGTGTCAGCATGGCAAGTGGGCCTTAATCCTGGCTGTATGAATATATGTGCCAGCCGGCCCGCTATTCTGTGCTGAGTGTGCACTCACTGGAGCACTCAAAAACAGTGACGGAGCTGTCACCAGCAGTCCCTGGGCACTGTTTATGGTTGGGAGCCAGTGGGGCGGGCTCCTGAGCATGTGGCCGCCAACCAGAGTTATCAAATATCCAGGAGGTCCACCTTCCATTCTTTAGGACCCCTTTAACAGCTGGCGCCAAGGGTTTTAAGTGAACTGCCTCTGGAATGTTACAACAGTGTAGGCAGGGGAAGTTGGCAAGTCTGATCTGTAACTTTAGGATTAGGGGCAGGTTCCGCTGGGGCATGAAGCAGGGCTGCAGGTTGAGGCAAGGGCTAGGGAAAGACAGCAGGGTGCAGGTGGCAATGGCAATTCTAAACCCATGGTGGGCCCTTTACTTGGATTGCCCTGGCTGTGGAGAGTGCTTCTCCCCTGCCCCATTCTATGCACATCCAACCAGGAACTCAGGTGGATCCTAGCAGCTGACCACCATTACCACCAGCTCGAGGCTGGTGGTAATGTAATGCTGGTGCACATGTCTGCATGGATAAGTTCCTGGCATCCCATAATAAGCAGAAACTTTGTAATTTATAAAAAAAAAAGAGTTAGCTTTAATCCTAAAAGAGAACTGTTATTTTTCCCATTCAGGGCACTGATAGACTACCTTTCGGCAAGGAAAACTGAGCCGCCTGCGCTCCCATGCTGCTTCTCTGATAAACAATGTGTTTGCTTTTTGGCTGAAGTCCCGCTTTACATAAGCCTACACGTATTTGATAATTCATGATAGAAAGTTGTTTTTACTTACTTTCGATCCAGATTGTCCTTGGGGCCCAGTAAATCCTCGCTCTCCCTAAAAGAAAAAGAGACAGTGTGTGTTAGAGAAAGGACTGGAGGGAATTTGCCCTAAACACAATGGCACACGTTCATAGCAATTGCTGTAGCTGTGAGTATTCTTCAGGGTTATCAGCCACTTCAGGCTGGGTAGAGGCTGACTGCAGTATCATTCTATGGAATTACTGAACAGAAAAGTTAACTGAGTGTAAGGAGATTGTCGCTAACCAGAATAATATCTTCATATTTTATTGATTTCCGATTGATTTTTATTCGTATGTTGTATACGTATCTACCTTACAGTAGAGGACTGCCTGATAACACCTGGAAAAAAGGCCAATACTGAAAGATACAGATGTTAAATATCAACACACAGGGGCCTATTTATAAAGAAGCTTTGTAGTGAATGAACGCAAAGACTAGTGTTAATATTTGACATGTGGACATTTCACTGTATACGATTTTACTTTACTATATTACAGTTTTGCTGTTACTCTGTATGGGTTGTGGATACTGACCATCACCTTTATGAGCGTGTTGGACATTCCATTACAAAACCATGGACATTAATGCAGAGTTCACCCCACCTCGTCCTTTGTGGCCATACCAGCCACCACCTTTCTTAGAAAGTGTTCCACAAGATTGTGTCTGTGAGAGTTTGTGCCCATTCAACGGAAAAAAACATTTGGAAGGTCATGTGTATGAGAAGATCGGGCTCGCTTTTGCTATTCCAAATCAACCCAAAGGTGTTCAGTAAAGTTGAGGTCAGGTTCTGATGTTGGGTGACAAGACCTGGCTTGCAATTGGCATTCCAATTCAACCCAAAGGTATTCAGTAGAGTCTAGGTTAGGTTCTGATGTTGGGTGAGAAGACCTGGCTTGCAATTGTCATTCCATCTCAACCCAGGTGTTCAGTAGGGTTGAGGTCAGGTTCTGATGTTGGGTGAGAAGAACTGGCTTGCAATTGCCATTCCAATCCAACCCAAAGGTGTTCAGTACAGTTTAGGTTAGGTTGTGATGTTGGGTGAGAAGACCTGGCTTGCAACTGGCATTCCATTCAGTAGAGTTGAGGTGAGGGTTCCTCCACACCAAACTCATCAAACCATGGCTTTATGGATCTGGCTTTGTACACAGGGGTACAATCATGCTGGAACAGAAAAGGGTCTTCCCAAACTGTTGCTGCAAGGTTTGATGCTTTCAATTGCCTTTGCATTAACAGTACCCGTCACTAGAAACACCTGAGCCCAATAATTTGAAGGGGGGGGTTCACATACTTTTGGACATATTCCTTATGTTCAAATCAACATCCCACAACTGCTACACTAACATTCTCTCTATATACAGTATAAGATATTTCAACTCACCCGTTCACCATCTTTGCCTTTTCCTGGTAATCCTGGCAAACCGGCAAGTCCAGTTTGCCCTTGAAGGCCCGGAGGTCCGACTTTTCCCTCTTTGCCAGGCTCACCCTAAAATTTACAAGAAACACATTTTTTTCAAATTAATATTACATTCTTTGACAGCTAACCCATATTCTCCTTCAGTTCTTACTGTTAGTTCATGGGGACAGTGAAAGTGTTGGGTCTCTTTAATCTTTGTCTTTTATTCTACAACAAACCATCTCTACGCTTTTATTTCCCCACCACTATGAAGCGTGATATTAGATGTTCCACGGGTCAGAAATAACTCTTTTGCTTTTTGTTTGAGCTGAAGCACCTAGGCGTCACCTTGGTCTCTTCTATCAATTCTGTTTCTTCTGAAGAAATTGAGGAGGAAGGGTACAGGGAAAGGGATCCGCATACAAATGATTCATTTTCTAATGCTTTTCTGCCTTAAAAGGAAAGTACACTGCATTTTCAATGAGCGCATATTTTGAGCTATTATTGCTTAGTTAAAATGTATCAAAATGTAACACAATGCATTGCAGCTTTGAGATCCTTAAAGGAGAACTATGAGGTGAGTGAAAATCACTCATCCTCATAGTTCGAGCTGATGTGTGACAATGAAACTGTCACACGACGACTCTATAGAGCGGGAAGTGAGCGAACACATACTGTCGCTCGCTCACTTCTCGGTCATGTCCCTGCAGAGAGCAGTGACTGTCACTCACGGCTCCCTGCAGGAATTCCCCCCTCCCTGCTCTGTTCCTCCAGTGCTGACTACGGAACGGACGGGGCGGGTACAGCTGGCTCTGTTATGAATGAACAGGAACACTCAGTATAGGGGATTCCTGTTCATTGATAACAGGGGCTGCAGAAAAAGAAATTGAGGACTCTGTGTTCTCAATCTCTTTTTCTATTTTAAAAGGGAAATATCAGGTCTGTTTATACCCCCAATATTTCCCCGACGCCCCTAAAAGTAAAGTAAAAAATAAAAATATTTAATAAAAATAAATAAAATTTAAATATAAAAAATTAAAAGTTGATAAAAAATAAATGAAAATAAAATATTTGAAAAAAATTGAAAAAGTTAGAAAAAAAAACATTTTCGGTTTCAGCAATTCAGCACGGCATTTTTTTACTTTCGGTTTTAAAATTTTCATTTTGGTGCACCGCTACATTTTTCTGTCTGGTGCAAGGAGGGAGAGCAAAGAGAGGAACTAGAGAAAGGATTGGTCAAACAATCTATTGCACAGTGCAATTTTTCATCCTAGATGGGATGTCTAAGGGTGTCCTGGTTCTTTTAGAACACGGGCAACAATTTAAATCTAGAGCTTCACTTTTGGGTGGACTTGGCCTTTAAATATTCACTACACATTGGTTAGCACTACGACCCAGAGGAGAAGCAGACTGCATCCTTGTGAAAGCTTTATTGGTTTACATATGGCCATCGTGCTGCACTTGCACCAGGGATATCAGCGTATGATCACTGAGCGTAAAATGGACAATTTCCTCTTTGTTCCTCACCGCTGTTCTGCAGCCAAGCTCACTGTAGAATGTGTGTGCTCAGCATAAGCGACTGCATTCCCAATTCCCCTTTCTATCCGGCAAACAGATGGAGAAAATAAATAAGCTCCGTCTGATCTGATGAACTTTTCAGTTTCAGTTTTCTGTACAAATATCAGGAGATCAGGTAGACAGAGTACAGATGGAAATGTCTCTGCCCTCTCCCGTAATCTCTGCTTTACATGCAGGATGAAAGCACTAAGATGTCTTGAAAATGATTTATAAAGAAAAAAAAAAGCCTCTGTAGGTTCACCTTTTCACCCTTCTGTCCATCTTTTCCTGCTGGGCCGTTATCTCCTGGACTTCCCTGCAAAACAAAGCAGCATCGTTATGAATTAAATACAGTATAAAGGAACTCTTCTTTCACTGTTTGTAGATGGTAGACATGATGGTTGGTTAGGGGGGTAGGTGGTCATAGAAGATAAAGGGGATCATGGGTTGTTTGATTGACGATTCTAGTGTTATTAGCTGTGAATGTGATTAGGTATCACCTACCTGGTAGAAGACCGATTAGCTGAGGAGGCCTCCCTTGCGGATCTTGTCTCACACCCCTGGATGTGGAAACAGGAAGCGAGTAGACAGAGAGAAGCACGGGCGCCAAAGTGTTCAGACACGGTGCCTGGTAGAAGTCCGGCCACTGGGTCAGCCTGGTAGAATTCCGGCAACTGGATCCCTGTAAGGGTGCCCACACACCTTACGATAATAGTACGATAATCGTACGATAATCGAGGGAAATCACGCGATCGTACGATTATCGTAAGGTGTGTGGAAGCCGTGCGACCTCTACTACTGTAAGGTCGCACGACTTTAAACTTGCGAACATGTTCGAAAACCCGCCGAGCATCGTACGATGTTCGACAGGTGTGTAGCATGTTCGTAGGATAAAAGCCGGACGAGCCGGTGTGCGCAAGCGCACACTGCCGGTTCGGCATTGCGGTCATCGGAAGCCCGCCCCTCAGGGGGGTGCCGCTTGTGATCATCGCAAGTACGATCTGCCTGTCCAAGAATTACTTTTTTAAAGTACCTTACAACCATCGCATGACAAAAGTCTTGCGATGGTTTTAAGGTGTGTGCCCAGCATAAGCATTAGCAGGTGCACAGCTGTGATGTCACCGAGGTTTGCCGCAGAAACTGGGGTGAGGTCAAACAAGCCAGGGGTCAAGCCAGATGGTCAGCACGGTACAGAAGGAGCAGGCAGAGTCCAGATATCAAGCAGAGGTCAGGGGCAGGCAGCAATCAGTCGAAGTCAGCAGCAATCCAGGTCAAGGTAACAGGCAACAGATCAGCAGGAACACAGGAACACAAGCACAAGCTGAAAGACCGTTCAGCACTGACCCCTTGGGCCAGCTGGTTTAAATAGGAAAATCTATTAGAGGGCCGTGAGTAATTTCCTGTGCGCCACTTCCTGTGCGCCACTGTGTCACTTCCTGTGCACCGCATTCCGATGTGCGCGCATGCACGCTAACGCATGTTTTACGGCAACCCGAAAGACTGGGACATGCACAGTAGCGCACGAGTTCCCGGCTATGGACTTACATTAGGCTTATGCCTGGCCACACGTTGCTGGTCATGGTGGTTTTCGGCTCACCGGTTTTGACATTACTTTGAACCTCTTTCCCCTCCTTTCTTTATTTTGCTTACTAGATGGTGTCTGCAATGGTGTGTTGTTGTGGGTTTCATAGGTCAATGTCATTACATTCTGCTGGGCAGTATATTGGTGTGGTTATTGTGACTCGAGTAGATGTTGCATGTACTTGGCTACCTGTTTACATTAATTTCTGTTGACTTTAGTTATTTGCATGTCAACCGTTGTGTCATAGCAGGAATCAACTGTCACGAGTCTTGCGGAGCAGTATATTGTGACTGAATTAGGAATGTGCAGGGATACAGGTCTCTGAAGATGCAGGGACAGTGTGACTACACAACAAATGTAGGTGTGCCAAAGCCGCGGGATCGAAGGAGCCGCCTGATCTTCACCAGAGCCACTGATGGTGTGGATGTTGAGCTGCTGGACCATTTTCCAACCTCAACTTTTGTTGTGTCAAAATGATGACACAACTTTTACTTGCTACAGACTTTTTGATAGCTGAATGATGGTTTGGGGCTTAGAACTAAAAAGGGGCAGGGCTTAAGGGTTACTTGAAGAAAAGTCAAGGCTCTGATCCAAGGTTCTCTCCAGTCACAAAAGTAGCGGGCTGAAGATGTACATGACTGGTTCAAATAGAGCCAGAAGATAATATAATGAGCCTGCACAGGCACAGTACATATAGTACAGGTAAGACAATGTAGCCCCTATATTATACACATATATGTGCTATCACAGCGATTCTTGTTCCTAACTGTAAGGAGTTAACTTGTCCCTGTGTGTGATCTGAAGCAGAGATTTGTGGGGATTGCAGTGCAGAGCTGACACTGGGGATTGCTAATAGAGCTCTTGTGAACTACTACTCCCAGGATGCTGTGCGAGAGGAAGGAGGAGGGCTATGTACTGCAGTGACTGAGCGTGCCCAGTCTGACTGGGGGATCTGGAGGAGACAGGCCTGTGTGCGGCACTGTGTGAATTAGGACTGCATGCAGCAGAGCTGTGTGATTCCCACTGACAGATTGGGACACACAGAATCTGTACAGCAGCGCTCTGAAGGACGGATGTTCATCTGCTGAACCAGAGAGACTGTCTTCGAGTGCCTGAACCGAGGCCTAGTCGCATGGCTGAACCAGCCGCCGGAGTGACCCAGCCAGCCCAGCAGAGAGAGGGGGAGCCAGACGGAGCCAATTGAGAGGACTGCAAACATCCTGGATGGGTGAGGACCTTTTGTCGGGAACCCAGATTACTGACTCTATGTCGCCTGAACTGAAGAGAGAGAGGACGCCCAGTCTTCATATCTTTCCAACTGACCTGAGGATTGGTGAGAGGCCTTTGGCCACGTTGACAACTTGTTTGCTGTTCATATCTGCACTACAGTAAGGGCCCCAACGCCGGCTAGCTTAGGACACCACTACTGGCCAGTAGTATAGGGAGGTTCGGACATTGTTAAAGGGAGACCTTGAAGGGACATATACCCCATTCAGGGGAAAGCCTTTAGAGACAATTGGCCTTACATACCTCAGTATTGACAGCAGATAGCTGCAGTTACTGGGTCGCAGAGTGCCTCAGCCTGTTGATACACATTATTGTTGGGGATTTCTGTTATTACTATTGTATCATAGTTGTTCATCTCTGATTTGTCAGTAAATCTGCTATAAAACTGTTCAAAGGTGTGTTGGTGTGCTGTGGATCCACGCTTTGGGCGGTACATTGGTGTGGGGATAAAAATATCCGGTTATTCAGCGGCTCCTTCAGGGGTGAGCGCTACAACTGTAAGGTGACAAACTTTGGTTTGGTATAATAAAGGTTTGGATGCACCTAATTATTATGCCACAATTTGAGAAACTAAATTAATGAGGAGAAAGGAGCTCGGCTATGAGGAATAATTAGTTACACTGAATGTATCCTTCACATAAGAGATAAAAAGATTATACTTGTTTCATCTTGTGACACCCATCAATATATTAACTTATATGAACATGAGGCTGTGTCAGACCCATACAGTATAACATACAATACATATATAATACAAGGGAACCAATGCCTACAAACTGGGCTGCACTGCCTGCATGCATAGAAGGTAGACATGTAACATACTGTATAATATATCATATATATAAAAAACCAATACTTGCAGTATCAAACAATATAAAAAACACATACCCCTAAGACTTATTCTTGCAAAATACTGAATTAAAACCAATCTGAATCATACAAGAACCAGTGGATGGCAACTTTAATTAGCATATCATGCCAATGTTGCCATGGTAACCATTATCTATTGCTCCTATTATATATAATGTATGATCAATATCAAGCATGAATGAAATTGGTAATCACACCTGTGGCTACCTACTGCACTTCTTATATTTGCAGTAGGACAGACGTGATCAGTTCTTAAGCAAGTGAAGCAAGTAAAAAGCAATAACCTGCTCTTTATCTGCTTTGCTTGCTTTAGGGAACTGTTTATGCTATTTACCTGCTTTGCTTGTTTAGGTATTGGTAGGTATTTGTAGGTATTGGTTCCCTTGTACTGAATGTCTTCTTCTCTTGAGAAGAGGCTCCTAATAGGGGGATGTGATCACTTTGCATAAATAATGAATAGATGTTCTATATAGAAAACCTGGTACAAAGTTGCTCACTTTAAAGTCAACTGTGAAAGACAAAGGGGCAGTTTTTGTACCTGTTGGAAAAGAGGGTCAAAGTGGATCTGAGCTCAAAAAACATTCTGTTATAGGGAAGATCTAGAAATGGTAATTATGTCTAAGAAGTACCCTTGTATGTATTGTCCAGAAATATACTGCAGTAGTTGTAGAGGAAGGCAGGGCTGGATCCTGGATGAGAGATATATATCACCACTGTTTGGGTTGTGGTCCCTTTAAAGGCCACCACAGGGTTTACCTTCCTGCCCCAGGAAGGGGTTTAAAGGTCTGCAACTCCCAGAGAGGAGTGTGGGAAGTTGAGGAGAAAGTAATCAGCTGTGGCTAGTGAGAGAGACCTGGATTGCTGTGCTGTTCTGCAGGACTTATATTCCTGGGAAGGGATTTCCCCAGGTTTGGGACGTTTCTATAACAAGTCGGTGAGACACATTTATGTTTTGTTATCTGTGCCGAATAATTGAACTTTTTACTTTGAGTTTGCTGAAGATAAATGTATAAGTGTTTACCGTTTTTTGGCTGCCCTGCAAGATGGAAATAAAAGCTTTTGTTTTATTCAAAACCCTCTGTGCGAGTGCTCTGTGATCTCCCCAACATCACATAGTGCACTTCCTGTGCCTTGTGCCTTCTAGCTGTATATCTGCAGTGTGAGATCTAAGCCATGGCTGCCTCTGACTGCTAGATTCAATGGATTTTAAGTGAGATTTGGTAATGTCACTACGGTGCTGAACACTGTTCTCCTTGCTGGAGAGGAAGCTGTACCTGAAGACCTGCACTGCATGGATCTCGCTGCTTCATTCATGCAGTGGATCTGTGCTTCCTTCACCTCAATTGCTACTACTAGATTATTTCTCCAGTAGTCAATAGGGTAGGGTGGGGTGTGGTGTGTAGCTCTACTATGATGGCTGCCTCTGCATAGAAACACATGCCTTGTTCTGCTTTATGTGCTAATAGTCCTGGGATAAAGATCAATTACAGGGAGGCTATAATTTGCCCTCTGCCTTCTTGGGAACAGCTTTTGTACTTCAGGTCCTCTTTAACCTCTTTATATAGGAAGGTTTATTTACAATAAGAGCTGTGAAATAGTCGAGTAGTCTTCTACAGGAGCTGGTTCTAGCAAGCTTAGTATATTAGAGGTGATCACTTTTCCTTACGGCTCACATTAAATTTCTCTACATTCAAAATTATTCACTTTCTACAACACTCTTTACCAGCCACCCCCACCATTGCTGCTTCCCATGGTGTCCTTAATTTCCACTCCATATACCCAACATATGGATACATGACTGCAGGATACAAATTCTTATATATGTTGCATGAAAGATCCATTTAAAATATGTAAATATTTCATGAATTTTCCAGAAATCATTTGATATCTCTGCATATATGCCTAGAGATTCCTATTACTCCTTATGCCAACATGTTCCACCCAGGAGAAGTCATAAAATAAACAGAAGGATAAATATACAGTACTGCATCAGTGAACCAAATGGGCGAGGGCCTTGTCCTCAAGAGCTAACCATCTACAAGAGGATGGAGGTGAGACATTAGAAATAAGTATATATTCCTGTTACCAGGTTTGAGTCACAGTGTGCTATTTGGAAATACTTGATGTGCAGTAATGATAAATCATGAACAGAAGCCAAACAAGGAGCAAGCTGCTGGCAAGTATTTCTCAGTCAATTCCCACTGGTCTCTCTTGTCTTCTCCAAATGAGGTACATGACACTCAACAATGGCCAAAACACGCTCGCTAATTCAGAAATATTGCTCTTCAAAAAGCTCTCCTTACTGCAGGAGAAAAATACGACACATAACTTCTAACTACAGTTCCCAAAGAATCAAAACTCACTAGTAACCACCCGTCCAGATGCCAGCCGCACAATAACACTAGGTGCCGATGAAGCGGGATTTGTACATAACCCCCAAAGGGCGTTGGCTGTCAAACGTTGCTCAGACCCTTCAGCAAAATTCCATCTAGAGCAGTCCATGCGGCGTGACACTCTCGTCCTTATACTACATACAAAGAATTAAACCTGGCTGTATAATACTGGTACACATATTTAGACTTTTGAAGGTCTAATAGCAGTGTTATCTGGTTAAAGGTGTCTCTGTGTGTAGGTGGCAATCTTGTTGGAGGCAGGGCTTTGCTTTCTCAAACCAGAGCCTCCAGCAAGGAGAACAGTGAGCATAATGTTAGGAGGGACTCCCCCCCCCCCCAAGTTAAAAACAAAAAAAAAGCGCAGGGGGTTTCCCCCAAAATCCCTACCAGACCCTTTAGGTCTGGTAGGAATTTTAAGAGGGAACCCCCAGCCGCACAAAATGGGGAACATACGTGGGGTCCCCCCTTACAGTCCTACAAGACCCTTGATCCGAGCACTGGCCCTGTAGTGCAGGGAAGGCGGGGGGCGATCGAGCGCCCCCCTCCCTGCGCCTTACCAGGCCACGTGCCCTCAGCATTGGGAGGGTGTCCCCATGCCGATGGGGACAAGGGCCTCTTCCCCACAACCCTGACCCGGTGGTTGTGGGGGTCTGCGGGCAAGGGGGCTTATTTGCATCGGGGTACTTGTACCCCTACCCGTTCACTAAAGGGTTAAATCGAATAGTTAGCGAAAAGAGTAAATTTTTGACTATTCCTTTATTTAAAAAAAAAATGGCTCCATCGATGTAAACGTCCGAATCTGAATTCCGAAACAAATTTAATTTCGGACCTGAATCCGAAAACAAAATAATGCAAAATCCGAATCAAAACGAAACGAAACAATTTTTTTGCTGGTGCACATGTCTACAGGGTACTACTTGGGGGTCTAGTCAAGGTCACCAGTATTGCCTGTGGTCTACCTACAGCTGATCTTTTTTTACTGACTTACCATGCCTTGTTCTACCCTGTGTGTCTGTGTGGAGGTGGCCGTCTTGGTAGAGGCAGGGCTTTGCGTCCTCATGTCAGAGCCTCCAGTAAGGAAAACAGTGAGCCGCACAGTAGTGACATTATCAAATATCACTCCACATATCCAGAGGCTAGCAGTCAAAGAGAGTAGTGCTTTAGAAGATCTCATACTGCACATAGGCTACTGGAACAGGGTTCCCTAGGCATCCTCACATACCAGTTAGCACAGTGGTATTCTTCAAGAGGAGTTCCAAACAAAAGTCAAACTTTTAGGGTGCTGCTTAGGTCTGGTCAAGGTCACCAATATTGTCCGTGGTCTCCCTGTAGCTGATCTTTTCCCGATTACCTACCTACCATGTCTTGTTCGACTCTGTATGTCTGTGTGGAGGTGGCCATCTTGGTAGAGGCAGGGCTTTGCTTCCTCAGGTCAGAGCCCCCAGCAAGGAAGACACTGAGCAGCAGAGTAATTATATCACTAAATCTCACCTTAAATCTGGTGGGACTCGCAAGCAGCACTGCCTTAGATCTCACACTGCAGATATACCGTTATGAGGCTGTAGGCACAGGAGTACCTAGGCACACTCACATACCGAGAAGTCATCTGCTATTTTTCAGGAGTAATTTAAGATACAAGGTAAATCTTTCAGAGTACTGCTTAGGTACAATTTGCAATCATAAATGATCCCTGTAACATAGCGTATCCTCACATTTTCAGTTCCGGTCCATTTTAGCACCCCAAGACTACATTAAATTTGGCATCACCCCCTTTATCCGGCCACCTTGCTCTGAATAAATAATACAGACTTACCACATTTCCTGGTAACCCCCGGGCTCCAGGTTGTCCGGCAGGGCCGACTGGACCCTGTTAAAAGATTGAAAATTCAATTTGGAAGTTGAATGATATTAAAATACTTAATGACAGAAAATATTTTAACACATTTTCCTCTTGAGTTTGAAACAGTTGTGTTGGGTTTTTGATTTATTCGGATTGAGACCTCCAGTTACGTCTAAAGAAAATGTATCTGTTATCTTCAGGACCAAAAAATGAAGCAATTTATGATTTCTTATTTGTTTTAAATCAGCCAAGTATGAAATATACTAGAATGGCCAAAACTAGGTGGACAGCCGTCCCAATGATTGTGTCCACGTGTTCCTAGTGAAGGGTTATGTTAATGCTATGGCATACAAATATATTTTAGACAATTGTGCCCTTCCACCCTTGTAACAGTTTGGGGTTCTTTTCTGTTCCCCTATTACTGTGCCCTGTGTACAAAGCCAGCTTCATAAAGACATGGTTTGACCAGTTTGGTGTGGACGAACTCAAATGGCTTCCCCAGAGCCCTGACCTCAACCCTACTGAACAACAGCAGGATGACTTGGAAGGCTGCTTGTGAGCCATGTCTTTCAACATCAGTACTTGAACTCACAAATTTTATTTTGGCTAAAAAGGCCTAATTTCCCCCCATTCCCAAACTTTTATGAAAAGCCTTCCAGGAAGAATGAAGGGGGGAGCCAACTCCATAATAAAGCCCATGGTTTGTCCACCAAGCCTTATTTAGGTGTAATCAGGGCCATCCTTATAATGAGGCAGACGGAGGTGGTTCCCTCAGGTGGCATCTCATTGGGTCACGTGGGGTGGGATTGGCAGGTGTGCCTGCCACCCCCTTTCTGGCCAGAGAGCCCCAGGTTGCTAAGAGCTCTTAACGATTTGTGACACTCTGGCCGGCGTCCCGTCAAGCTCAATTATGTAATTGATTGCCAGGAGCTGAGTAGAACACTCTGGCTGACATCCCGCCCAGCTCAATGATGTCACTGGTTGCCAGAAGCGGAGTAGAACACTCTGGCTGACATCCTGCCCAGCTTCTGGCAACCATTGTCATCAGCGAGCTGGGCAGGATGCCATGCACCATGAGCCAGCCCCCCTATGAATGTCCACCACAAGCCGCCAACACCCCCCATGCCCAAAATGTGCACAAAGAGATAAGGAATGTGCATCACAAGCACACACCCCCCCAGCCTCAGGTGGCGAGACATCTAGTGGCTCCCTGGGTGTAATGGTCATGTGTCCATAAATCTTTGGCCATAAAGTGAATAACATGAGAGCATTCAATATTTATTACATGCAGCAAGCAGGTGACGCACTCTAAATAAGAGCACAAGCCCCCTGCTTAGTAAACAGATTTACTGTAAAAGAAGCAGAAAAAATCTGATTATATGCACTGATTATACACACAGCTGAATGGCCCAGAGGAAGGACACACCTCCTTCCCTATTTCCTCTATTTTCTTCAATTTCCATATATCGCTCTTATGGAATACTTACACCATCTCCCTTTGGTCCACGCTCTCCTTTATCTCCGTCTTGTCCTTTGGGGCCCTGCATAGATATATTGCAATATGTAAGAACAAAGGGAATCGATGACTACATTTAAACACACACAGCTTTGAACCTGTCAGTTCGGCTACATCTGATATTTCAGTTACGGGTGAATATTAACATACTGAACGTTAGATAATTCTCTGGTGGTGAGATGTTCCTCCCAGAATTCCCAAAGCTGTCCAAAGGCTGTGGCCCTTACGAAGTGATGGATCCAGTTATTGGGGATGCTACCATAAGAAACTGACATATCTAGGACCTGTGGTAAAGGGTACCCCCGTACTATATTGAAATTGCAGTACAAACATAAGAGTAATTTTTTCAGAGAAGGTAGTTCACAAATCTCTGCTCTCACACGGTGGATTTGGTCTTTTTTAAATACACAGTTGAGCATTGTCCATGATCCTTTTTATAATGATCAATTACCAGTTGAATTAATTAAACTATAATGAAATGTGGTACTCCTGAGGATCAAACCCTGTAGCTTGGTTGACCCTATTATCAATTATCAGTACATTTTCAAGACTGTTAGTGCAAATTAAAAAAGTATTAAATACAGAACTCAACTATATTGTTGTAAGTGCACCAATATGGCTAAATTCCTTGTTTAATAGACCACTTTGTAATTTTACATCATTCATTGCCCCTTTTCAGGCCCATTTGGATAAACTGTAAACTGTAAAATGATGACAGGCTTCTGGAATTTATAATGCATCCACATCATGGGAATATGAAAGTGTTAGGAAAGGATGTGGAAACAAAAAAGGACAGGAGGACGAATAACAGAAAAGGAGTGAAAAAAAAGAGGAGAGGAGAAAAAGAGTAGATGAAAGGGTAAGAGAGGAGAGGAATAGAGAGCAGAGGAAAGGAAAAGAGAAGAGACGAAAAGAGAGGAGAGGAAAAAGAGAAGAGAGGAAAAGAAAGGAAAGAGAGGAGAGGAAAGGGAAAGAGAGGAGAGGAAAGGGTAAGAGAGCAGAGTAAAAAAGAAGAAAAGAAAAGAGAGGAAAAAGAGAAGAGAAGAAAAGAAAGGAAAGGGAGGAGAGGAAAGGGAAAGAGAGGAGAGGAAAGGGTAAGAGAGGAGAGGAAAGGGTAAGAGAGGAGAGGAAAAGAGGAGATGAAAAGAGAGGAGAGGGGAAAAGAAAGGAAAGAAAAAGAGGACATGAAAGGAAAAGAAAGGAAAAGCGAGGAGAGGAAAGAAAAAGAGAAGAGAGGAAAGGAAAAGAGAGGAGAGGGAAAGAGAGGAGAGGAAAAGAGAGGAGAGGGAAAGAGAGGAGAGGAAAAGAGAGGAAAAAGAGAGGAGAGAAAAGGAAAAGAGAGGAAAAAGAGAGGAAAAAAGGAGAGAAGAAGAAAAGAGAGGAGAGGAAACGAGACAAGAGGAGTCAAAAAAAAGGGGATTTTGTGTGTAACATTGAGAAAATCCAGACTATAATTTAAAAGAAAATATTACATAATTGTATTCCATAAAGAAGGTAAAATACATATCAAATGGTTAGAAGCACTCCGTTCTGGCTATGATACATCATATAAGCTTTAGACCAGGGGTGGGCAAAGCCGGCTCCCCTGTCAGTCATGTTGGTGTCACCCCTCCAATGGTGTCACCCCCTCCCCCCCTAGTGATGCCACTGGAAAAACCAGCTCACATGGCCAGCTGTAATGTCTGCCAAATCCTTTGACAGATAAAACCACTCCAGGACATATTATTTTAATTGTACATTTAGCTGTTTGGAGTTCTGCTTTAAATGAACCTCAATTATTCAGCATCTTCCTTATCCATAAAGAGACCTTTGGATGAAAACCAGCTGAGTAATAAACCTGGGGAGCATTTCCAGCCCTGTGTGGTGTTCTTAGCACAGTAATAAAAGTAAGTTGTTAATGGTGTGAATGTGATCTTTTATTGCTCAGCCCAACGTCCTCAGTACACCATCCACATTCACAAAGCTTTTACTACTTCCCGGGAATGATGACACACACTGGGCAGAATCCTTAA